CCAGCGCCGTTGCCAAGCCTGGAAGCATCCCTGGAAATCTTTCTTTGTCAGCCTGTCAAGCACCATCTGCGATTCTGCCTGAATCTCTTCTATCGTCTCATATCTCCTTCCCTTTAGCTGAATTTTCATCTTTGGGAAGAGGAAGAAGTCACACGGAGCTAAGGAGGTTGCGGGATGACGGCCATGGTGTTTGAGGCCAAAAACTGTCGAACTTTGAGGGCGGTGTGCGCTGGCGCGTTGTCTTGATGCGTCGCATGTGGAGTTCTTCCTTTAGAATCAGCTGACATGTCCCATAGCCTATCCCAACAATGTCGCATTAGTCGTTGATGGTACGACGTCGATCTTCGTAACATTTTCGGGCGTTGTGCTCGAAGATGGTCGTCCAGAACGCTCGTCATCATCGACAGAGGTTCGGCCATTTTTAAAACGTGAATGCCACACAAACGTTTGTGCACGACCCATTGCGGACTCCCCAAATGCTTGCTTTACCATTTCATAGGTTTTCGTAGCCGTTTTGGCGAGTCTTTGGCAAGAGATTCAGGCAGAATCGCAGATGGTGCTTGACAGGCTGACAAAGAAAGATTCCCAGGGATGCCTCCAGGCTTGGCAGCGGCGCTGGGATCGTTGTGTTCACTCCCAGGGGAACTACTTCGAGGGTGATGGATGAATTTAATACCTGAGATAAGTGTACGGGTTTTTATACGCGCAGTCTGGAAACATTCCGATCACACCTCGTATATTGTATACTATGGACACTGACTAACTTTTTTATAATTAGGAAAAACTGACATAAATAAAGATCCAACACATGTTACTAATATCAACACTAACAACCACAATATTTTTTACATTTTCTACATTTATACCGCTTTTCAATTATTACAATATCAATGCTGACGAAGATAAAGAATCCACACATTTTAATAATTGTTACGTCGTACTAGATTTTTGGTTGGAATTAGAGAAGAAACTCAAATTTTATATACTATTGACATTTATACCACTTTATAATAATTATATTATCAATAACCATGTAGATAAAATTCAACTCATAAAAAGAATACAACACTGAAAACCACTATACATTTTATATACTATATTAACAGTAAAAAATTACCAGTCTCCAGTTATTAAATTCTGCAATTAGTTACACTGGCACAATAGCCGAGAAAATATGAAAAACACTTATCAGTAATAATTTACATTACACTGTGTGTTACATATTCCTGAGAGTATTTACAAATCACATTCTTACATATGATTAAATAATTTTTAATTTAACATTATTTGGTTTCTATTAAGCACATTAAATTATAGTTTGTGCAATTTAAACAAAATTCGTAACTGTGAAGCAATGGAGTTAAGCCTCTAAAGTTTGAACCTTCTCTTATACGTACATACAAAGACTTGGAGGCACAGAA